GTAAAATTGTTCTCCTGAACTTTGTCTACTTCTAAATTATAAAGTAATAAAATCACAACATTTTGGAAGCTGTATTCTCCTTCCATCTTCATTCAAAGAAGGGAACAGGACAGAAACCCTATCTGTTGGGCCTTCTGGTTAAGCTGGCCTCAGACCTAGGTCTTAGGCTAACTGTGATCGATATTTAATTAAACACAAAATGAGATGTGCATTTCGATATCTCTACTATAATTCACTTTACGGCATTTTATTTGGAATCATATATGCAGCAAATCAACAACAAGGCTGGTGAGATATGCGATGTAGAATAGAACGCACTTGGAAGACTTGAATTTGTTCATTTGAGTTGAACAATCAGGACTATCTTTACGGAATAAGACCAAGTAAACTCTGTAAGAACGTCATATCTTTCCAGATGCTCGAGTATACCACAAATGTGAAGGATAACTCTTTTTATTTTTAATAGATTAGTTTAGTTTTAGTAAAAATTCTTTTAAGATAACGATGAGGGAGACTAGGTCACGGGTCACACGCAAATTATTACAACAATTTGTCCTCGAAGTGAGTAGCCACATTCAGGCGGCTGGATGAAGATGGGTATGTCAGTGAAATATGATTGATTGGCATCTTATATGTCAGGTTACAATCGGGTATTTATTCCAAAGGGTGACTGAGACAGTGAGTACCTCTAAAGCGTCGTTCAATTTCTAACAGACTACACGTCTCAACGTCGCAAGGACAGAAATCTTCAACACATCGTTTATTCTCTTAATGGGGCCCACATATGAAGTCAAATTTACGAGTGTGGGAATAAGTGGGGTAGTTTTTATTCGTCCAGATAACACGTTTGCTCTATACTATATATGCCAGTTTGCATGCACTGCGAGGGGAAATATTTCTGCTTGTTAAGTTCATGTGATGAAAGTCTGTAAAGGAATGTTTGCTTTTCGTGCCGCGTACTTTAACATTCGTTAGCTCTTCATCTTGATCAGAGTGTGCGTCTAGATGTTTCGTATAATTCCCAGAATAATAAGATATTATTTCCGTGGCCAGAATTTACCAGTTGATCTTTGTGATACACGCGGGTTATGTTTTCTTTGAGGCAGGAACTGAAATTTTAAGTATTATTTAGGTGAACTTTGATAGTGTGAGAGTTAATGTTTATTAATCTTCACCGTGACTCTGAAAGGAGGCAAAGGGTTTCCTTCAAAATACATGCAACATTTATACGTTACACACTATTAAGGGCTTATGCTCAGCGTGTCATAAATTATTGTTAAACCCCATTCATAGTTTGCCTGTAAAATTTTCTAGTGAGTTGATGGCCGGAAATAACCGACACTTTGAATTGTATCTGAGGCTGCTACATTTTTTCCAGTCATATCACAAAATTCTAAGACAGTGCACTGAAACAGCCCAAGACGGATTATTTATACATATTTACATTACGCTATTCGAAAGATCTTCTGTTCGACGTTGTACAATTCATAATATATAATTAAATAAGCTAATAAACAAGCAATACTGAATGTTTCTGTGGTGTATTACTTAAAAGGAATATTCAATTCACTCTGAACACAGAGGTTGCGGGAGCAGTTCTTTCAGATTCGTATGATATTTTTAATTCATGCTACAATAAAACTTATTACAGCTTTTATTAAGTATGACTTAATGACTTAATAGCATTATTCTCCACGCAGATTAACGTCATTTCTCACTGCAAGGACCCCGGCTAAAGCTTAAACCAGATAATGTGGAATTTGTGGCTGAAATAATGATAATGGGCTAGTTTTTCTTCTAGATTATCGAAAACAGTTGCTAATGGCCGTCTTCCAGTTTACTCCCTGTTAAGTGCATAGAAATTCATAAAGTCTATATACGATCATGAGGATTCAACTCTGCAGGAAGAACGTCCTTGGTTCTTCACGGTCGCTCCCTTTAGCGTGAAACGGCTTCATGTGTATGAAACGTTGTCACCTCAGTCTGCAAGGAAGTTGGCGTTTTAGGTCAATTGACGCAGCATGGATAACAGAACAAATTAGGAATTGTACGCAAAGCGGAAAGCTTTTCGCGCGTTCGGCAGGTCTGGCCTTTGCATTTGCGAATGACACCAGTGACGTCAGGTCTCTGTATTTGGGATTCATTGACCTCTACGTGAGCTGTGTGTCTGGGGCCTGTCTAACTGGGATGACGTCATAAGGTGATTCTTCAAGCAGCTGAGACGTTGGCTGTGACAACGACCTTGGACCTAAAACAAATGACCTTGAGCTCGGAACTGGTGACAGTAGACGTGGAAACAGTGACATTTGACATGTGACAAATGACGTTGCACGAAAGACCCGTGACTTCGGCACAAGGAGTAAGTTCATTCATCATAAACTTATGATCATTTTTGTGTACGTTACCGTTCGTTATTGCTTTCTGATGTTAACTCAAAAGTGGCGACAAATTTTCATGAAAATCCATTCAGTGGTTCTCAGGTTGTTGCATGCTGACAGGCACTCATGGCAAAGCTAATAGGCATATTTTTAAACTCACAGTTGCGAACGTGGCTAACAAGAATTTTCTCCAATAAAAACATGTTGCAGCTACGACAAAAACGTTATCACCATCATGAATCAATAGCATAATGGAGAGATCGAAAGTGTTGCTTGTAGGAATATTTCATCTCCGAGACTGCTAAACGGATTTCGAAAGAAAAATGAAATGCCAGAATTGGGAGTTCGCACTAAAAGCTCTAGAGCGAATTCAGGATCAAAGAACTTTTCTGATCGCACCGCATATCATTCAAGAAAACAGAGACCGCAACATAAAAATAACACTCGTTGATGTTAAGTTGTAGATTCTGAGAAGTTAATCATAAATTCAATATATATTAATTAAACTATGTTCAGTTAATTGGAACCAGTGTTTATTTATAAGCATTTCTGCGACTTGGCGCTGCTGTTTGACGTCACCTGTCTGCTTCTCTACATGCACTGTTCAGTGCTTCAAAGTCATTTCATAATAAACTTTGTTGTTGGCATGTTTACAATTTTTATAATTTATTTTTGGTAAAAAATCTTTGCCGCTGCTATGTTACGCATTCAAGAGATAAATGTGTTATTGAGATTGCTTTTAGAAATAATTAGGTTGTTATGAAATATGTCATGAAGCTAAACTTAAATTGTGTACCTCATGATAGAGGTCGTTTCGGAAGGGACGGCCTCAGAAATGCACCACAAATTTAAGGTAACTAAAGCTTTTCGACTAGTTATTTAATTTATCTCTCTTTACGGCGGATCCACCTCAGATTAAGAACTGTACTTAATGAATTTCCCACAAAGAAGCGAAATATCTCAAAATAATAAAGATGGCTGTCTTCTTAGTCGAAGCGCCATGTAGTACCAGACTACACGGCGCTAAAACCCAGCGCATTGCTGGAAATGGTAAACAGAGCTTTCTGTCGTGGCGGGAGCCTCGACCATTCAAACTAGGGTCTGTTTTTAGCCCAGCTTTCCGATTGTATGACATGTTCAATGTGAAGTTGCCTGAGTTCAGTCGAATTTCAACTCCTTCCTTCACGAGGCGGTCCATATAACCCGTTGTCTTGCCCATCACTGCGGTACTGGGGGTGAAGGTGGTTCGCCAAACTTTGGTGTTTCTCCATCCAACAACCTGGCACAAGGATGCTGTTAGTTGCTCAGACTACATAGAGTCGAAAAATGTGACTGATAATAAATTGGAAAGGATGTGGAAGGAAGCGGTCACAGTCAACTACAAATCTCAGACAGTATATCCGTGCCGAGATTAACGAAATGGAACCTCCCAAGTACAAAGCAAGAGCAATTACCACTCGAAAGTTCTACGATAATGACAGATTTGTCTTAGTATCCCCCTGATTAATCAGGGAAATTCTATTACGAAGAAATTAATGTTACATGCAATATTTCGACATCTGTATCTTTTAAATACATATTTGTTGTGTTTATGGGACTTCGGCATTTGAACTCGAATCACAACTAGGCTTACTTCAAACGACGTCCGTTGTTTGTTTCAACATTATCTCTCAATTTTTAATCGCAAAACACTTTCTTGTATTCTGAAACTGACTTTGATGAGACCTTATTGCAATTTATGGTAGTTAGCGACCGGCATTCTCCGTCCTTGAATATCGTAAACAAACTCTGTAAACAAACAAAGGCAGAAGAAACCCGCCTTCAAACTCTGCAACTTGTTATCACTGAGACTAAGTAGGGACTGAATGACTTACTACGTTGTCTTTCCTTCTATTTTATTACTTTATTTAACGGCGCTGTATCTACTGCAGGGAACGTTGTGTAATATATAGGACGATAGAATTATAAATAATGGAATCGGGAAGTTATAAAACGAAGCAGCTGTGGCCTACTTTAAGGCACTACCCTAGAATTATTTGCCAGAAGGTGAAGAAATCCATGACGTGTATGACGACAGATTGCAGTTCTAAGAGAAGCTTACTTGTGGTTTGTGTATAAGAATGTGATCTCCTCACCAGAACAAACAATTCTGGTCTTGCCGCCATTTTCTTATCGTGCTTAATTTCCGAGCTACAGAAACCACCTCACCAGAGCTCGAACTCAGGACAGGTTTCGGGAGTTTTTGCCTTTCTAAAACCTCCTCCTCCTTTCAGGACATAATCATGCCAAGTTCGGGGCAGATTGGTTTATCCCTTCTCCAGGCATAAGGGAACATACATACACACGCATACCCACAATTTCAATTTTATGTAGGCCAGAAGGAGGAATTTTACGCAGAAGTAGTTTGTGATTAACACCGTTTAGATGTGTGAATAATGCTTATTTTCAGATTTTGTTTCACGACTTCTTAAGCGGCATGGAGTTCAAAGAAAGACGCCCCAGTCCCTGAAATGAAATAGATTTGTCGTCTTCAGGGGTCAACACTTGGTCGATTTTCTGACTCTGGTTTTGCTATGAAGAGTGCGAGCTAATTAACTGTAGTGAGAATAAATGTGGCTTGTATATATATTGAAAGATATATTTTTTACGTATCTGAGTGAAACTGTTTTACGACAGTGAATATATATGAAGCACCATTTTCTACACGAACTTCCTAAGTCGCTTGTTGGCTGGGCAATATTCTGCGTACTCTTCCCACGTGCATCCGGCTGTATTCAGACAGCACTCGTCTGTGATCGAAGCCCCTGAACCACGACGTCGCTGCTGACGTCTGCGGTCCCTCAGGAAGACGCGGGCTTCCACCACACTGAGGAACGGATATCCTGCCAGATAAACAAGATTAAGGTTAGGAGCTAAAGACAAGAGACAAGTTAGCAACAAAGAATATTCCGAAAGTACAAAGAAGTTTTATATTTGAATTCTGACAATTTCTATTGTAATATTCGTATTTCGTTTCCAGAAAACCTATTACTAAATCTAGGATGCGATTCACAATCGATGGTGTCTTAAAACTGAGAAAATGCGGTATTAAACAATTTAAAATATTAGCCCGACATTCATTCGCACAGCTGCTTGATGAACTTCAGCTCACGTTGCGGCACACATCACATATTCTAAGATGTTAATGTAATTAAAATTCATTTCTCCCTGCTACCCCTAAAACTTAATGACACTCACTTGGATCACTCTTGCCTTGCAGAAATTCGATCCCTTGATCTTGGTTGTCATTTCTCCGAGACAGCCGATATATGTCCTTCTCGCACGCCCAGTATAGATGGCGCAGCAGTGTCTCTTGGCATCTCGTGTGATGTTCCTGATGCCATACATTGAGCCAGTCATCATCAGATCTGCATGAAACCATAAGGAAGTAGGATTTGAGGTTCTCATGGTGGGAAGTGTGAAGATGGCTTTATATCTGGGATGTAGCGCCGTGTAGTCTGGTGTAAGTTCACCAATATTTCAGAGGTCCTTGCTGCCTCATCGCCCTAATAACGGAAGTAGCAAGGACCCCCTGAAATGCCGGTAAACTTCCAGAATGCACGGCGCTGCAAGCCAGAAGACAGCCGTATCTATGTATAAATAATATTTTATCACAACAAAACAAACAATCAATAGTCTCACGCGGAATTAACAAAGGACCTCTTCATATACACTTCATTGACCGCCTGAAGTTGCAACCGGTATGTAATGACATCTGTCTAAATCTAAACACTTAATTCCATTTTATGTATGCGAAAAAGTGTTCTTTGTATCTTTTCATGCATTTATCCAATGCATGTTTGTCTGGTGCTCTTTTTATAAAACTGTGAGGTACAGTCGTGTCTTTCCACAGTTACAATCCCGAACTAATGGGACTGCAGGTAAAAACTGATATACAATGGTAGCTAATAAATATAGCCAAACGAAAGAGAATGAGCTGTAAAGCGCATGCGCAGGTGAGAAATGAGTACAAAATTTGGCTAGGATGCCTGAAAGGAAGAAAGAGACCATTTGGAAGACCGAGGCGTTGATGGGAAGATACTATTTAATGAATCTTTGGTAAGCAGATTCAGGGGTGTGAACTTGATTCATTTGACTCGGAATGTAACCTGGTGGCCGGCTGTTGTAAATCTGGTAATGAACTTACTTTTCCCATAAAAGGTGGGGGAAGTTTTGATTAGTTGAGCGTAATAATAACTTCTCAAGAATGAATCTTCTCCATGAAATTATTTAGTTTCTGAATTGGGCAGTTTCCGACTCTGAGAAATATAGGTCTATGAATACTTTAAGTGCAACTCTTTCCATCGGGACTAACAACACTGCAGAGGAGGCGGGTTTCCATTTCATATAAAAATGGGCTAGATTTGTATCTGCAATAAACTGATTTCTAGCGCGGTGAGAAACGGTTATGCAAGGAACGCTTTTTCATAATGCGTATATTCAGTAAAGGAGCGCACTTTGACGCACCTGGCTCGTTTCTTACCTTGCTTTAAACATTTCTTCCAGTTCCTTCTCCGTGTTAGTGGATTCGGAGAAGTCTAAGAGCACGCAAAGAGCTGTAACGGTTGTCAGCGGGAGTAGCATTGTATCCTCGGACTGGGTGGTCCTGCGGAGCAAATGAACGAATATTCACTTCTATGAATCACTGGTCAATTCTGATACATGGAGATGCACGTACGTACATAAAAAAGTTTTATTTTGTGAAACACTGTATAATCCCGGAAGGAAATCAAACTACAAATTTTCAAAATCCGAGTTCAAAGAGAAACACTCAACCTAAGGACGGTAAACCGAATAAGTGACAGGGTAAATTTGACTATTCTTTTGGTATTGTCGAGGTAATTGAATCACTGGTTTAAGGTGGAATGGAAACGTAGTTAGAATGGGAGAAATAAGAAACTCATGCGGTATTTTGGTGGGGAAGTCACGTGGAAGACCAAAAGAGGAAGTGATTCTAAAGATAATACAGATTGGATTGAACAGTTTTGTAGGAAGTTAATTTGTATGAGTAGCTATTTGTGAGTTTCTTCTAATGTAAATATTATTCTGAGAATATCTTTTACAGACGTGAAGTTATAAAAGTAATACAATTTCTATACGTGAAAGTAAATTAAACTGAACTTGTGAGAAACATTTAAAACCAAGTGTAATGCCTTTATATAATCTTGATATATGTTTTGTTTAATATGCCATCATTTCTAATGTTTATAATAGGCAAATCTTGTATTGTGATTGGTGTAGAAGTAGGTTCCATATTTCTGACGATACGTAATGTGTAGTTTATTGAATACAAATGTTTGTTCGAGTTTGTGTCTCATTGTGCTGTAATGACCGTCGAAAAGAAGACAGGCGATACTGCAATACGCAGTTTGTAAAATTGGGCATAAACGCCAGTCTCCTAGCTGATATTTTCGTGGTATTCCACAGTCCCATTAGAGAGATACCGGAATAATTTCTTAAATTATTTCACAGCGGATTTATGTCATATAATTTCCAGTCAATTAATCGTCCTATCATTCGTCACTATATAAGATGAAGTCATTATAGACAGAGTGATTAAATAAACGATAAATAAGTAAAACTATTTCTAATTCCGGGAAGAAATTATAAATGTAATAATTTTTACATGATAACTACAGTCATAATGAGAGAAGTTTATATTAAGAATCGTAAGTGTATCAGTGAATGGCTGTAATAATTCTGCTGCTGACGACAAAACATTATCTGGCAAGCCTATTATTAAATTATTTTTTTCTTTTGTTGTCAAGGATAAGGAACTTAATGCCTGTATGACCTTAAAACCCTCTTTCTAGCGTGTCTTTTCAAACTTCGCCCTCAGGGTGTACAATCTTGTGTCATCTACGGTCACTTACATTCACCCAGTCTGCATACATAATCTTTCTACATGCATCTTGGTTCACTCATTCTACTCACTTTGTAAGTTTATAAGCCGACATCGTGTCTTCACTTACTCCATCAAAATTTTTTATGTATGTAAAAATCTCCTCAACTATGTAATCGATTTTAAATTTCTCATGTATTTCAGTTTTTGTTTTGGTGCCTAAGTCATAATTTCTGCTGCTTCTGTTCACTTATATAACACCTCGTGCCCGCATTACATGTCCTTTTAGCAAATATTTTGTGTTTTTATTAAATATGTTGGCTACCTCAGACAAATATTTGACCAAAGTACTTAATTAAAATATTTTTGTTAATGATTATTTTTGTCGGTTTACCTATATAGTGCGAAAATTATTACACGTGACAGGCACGGTAAAAATATAATAGATATTAGAATAATTACATAAAATATTTTATATATGCCGTTAACGCCATTTGCATAGGATGACATCTGATAATCTACCTGAGTTGTAGAAAAATATATCTTCACTACAGTAAAAATTGTTCCCTCTTCAACAATGATTAATATAGACTTCAAACGTAGTCACTATTATTTTTCTTGTCAGACGTGCTGCTACCTGTGAGGACACCGAACTTTCCCGAAGCACAAACTTGAGAACGGTGGTAAAACAACTCTCACTTGGACGCAACGTTGTGTGCGGGTTACCACCCGCACACAACGTTTTATAAACGTCTTCGCCTGCAATCAAACTGCTTTGTGTTTTGTGGTCATTGCAAGGAAGAAAAGAACAACAATTTATCCTGTGTGTCTATTAGCGTTCAAGCGCACTATAATGGAATCGAAAACGTCAATACCCACACACAAAGTCGTGTGATTTTATTGCGCATTAAATGACACTATTAACAGAAGGAATTGCTTTCCCCGTGATTTATAGGCTCTGTGTTGTGAATTAAGGAATTGGAGGGGTGATCAGACTGAATCACACGTGTTCTGTTTCACAATTTGTGTTGGGGGGGAAATCGCAAATCGCAAGTTAAGTAATAAACGAAACGATTGCAAATCTTTCTAAGCATACAACAATCAACTGGGGAGGTGAATTAACAGCACTGTGCCAACTGCCAAGTTCATTTTACGTCGAATACTAAATACAAGTCTAAAAGTTCTTGACGACTGTGACGTATTTAATGTTCTATCAAGACTTTTTCTTGCAGATACTGAGAAAAACCATGAAGAAACTTGAATCATTAGGCAGTCGTGGTCTAGAGTTAGACAAGGTATTTGTCTAATGCGAATCATAGGTATGTACTTGCATCTTCTTATATAATAAGACATGGTCTTGGAGATTCAATTAAATTCTCCTTTAAAATCTCTCTTCATTTTATGACAGTTATGGGTATACTAACAGCTTCGTGCTGGTAAACACTGTGGCCAGATAAGTTTAAATCCTCTCAACTGCGGTCTGTTCGCACTGTATTTATAAATAATTCATAGATTGTGATATCAAGCAGTTTAAATTCCTAGTAATTCATTCGTTCATTAAGTATGCTAGTAATGTAGCTATTAACCTGTAGTCAACACGGGTCCCAGTTTATAGGACTTCTAATTCCGCTCTGTTTTATACTGAAATCGACAATTTCATTACTTCCAAGAAATTCGATATTTCACAAAATGTAAAACAGACCATTTGAACAATCGGAATAAAATCAACAGATTGCGTGCTTGCCTTGACGCGAACTTTGGACAAACATGTTTTCATATGAGTTTGAATTAAGTAAGAAATAAGAGACAGGAAAATTCCGAGGCTGGTAACATTAATTTAAGTATACAAGCAATGTCAATACAATCGAATCTTTTACGTCGTATCTTGGATCGAATTCGTATCGCCTCTCCGGAGAAAACTTCTCAGGACACAGACAAATGGGAGATAGATAAATAGACGGAAGAACGTATAGACGGATATATAAACAGATGGACAGAGAAACAGATTGATGGACTAGACCTAGTCGTCTCGTAAATATAAATTCAACAGTAAACATTTTCTATGTTTGTAATATAAATAATACCGAGCAAAATTAGTGGAAGTTCTTAAGATATAATTTTCAGAATGTCACATATCTAATTGCAAACGTTTATCAGTTATCGACACAGAAAAAAATATATAAATCTGCAATCCAACTCAGTCGTCAAATTGATCGTAACTTGTCAGGTCTACAAATGGCTTCCCGAAATTTAGTTGCATTCGGTCTGCAAATGCACACTCACTGACATCAAGAATGGACCAGGTTTGAACATGAGCACCTAGTAATGGGTTTTTAATTATGCTACATCAACTGCGCAGGTTACACAGTGTTGGAAATCTTTATGTATGGTGTAAGACTTGAGGTTCTCACAGCGGTGAGTATGAAGATGTCCGTCTTCTGGGTTATTGCGCTGTGTAGTCTGGTCGATGTTAACCAACGTTTCAGAGGTCATACTGCCTCCGTCATCAGGGCGATGAATAT